CTGGTTCTGATTTCTGTAGTCAGCTTGATCTTTCTGCCACTTTCCCAAGCAACTTCCAGCTATGTGGTGGTATTCATTCAACAGGTGTTTATCGAGTCCTATTATGTGTCTGACATTATTTTAGGTTGCAGCTAAGACAGACAAGATCCCTGCTCTCATAGAGTTTACATTTTAGTGGGGAGAGATGTTAACTTAGATACAAATAAACAAGCTAACTTAAGATAGTGATAAGTTTAGTGAATTCATAAAGTATTTTGAGTGACAGGTGGCTGTTTATGCCATCTGAGAAAGGGACTTTAGAGCTGAGAACTGAATGATTGAGAAGACTGCCATGCTATCTGAAGTCACATTCCAAGCAGAGAAAACCACAAGGGTGTGAGCCCTGAGATGTCACATCCGAGGGCTAGAAAGCTAGCCAGTGAACTGGGAAATAGAGAATTAAGGGGAAATGTGTAGCAGATGAAGTCAGAGAGGTATGTCACAAGGTGCGGGTCCACAGATCACACTCAGCCCACAGTGTTTTTGATATTTCACTGAAAAACAATCCTGACTTGCAATTTCTCTTCAGTTAAAAAAAAAAATTTGGGCCGGGTGTGGTGGCTCATGCCTGTAATCCCAGCACTTTGGGAGGCCAAGGCAAGCGGATCACAAGGTCAGGAGATCGAGACCATCCTGGTTAACATGGTGAAACTCCGTCTCTACTAAAAATACAAAAAAATTAGCCAGGCATGGTGGCGGGCACCTGTAGTCCCAGCTACTCAGAAGGCTGAGGCAGAATGGCGTGAACCTGGGAGGCAGAGGTTGCAGTGAGCCGAGATCGCGCCACTGCACCACAGAGCGAGACTCCGTCTCAAAACCAAAAACCAAAACCAAAAACCAAAAAAAAAAAAAAAAACCACCAAAACCAAAAACCAAATTGTCCATGCCACTATGCCAGGCCGTTATTCCTGAATAACAGTTGCATTCAACATAGAACAGTTATGCTCTCCTGTCCCCTTCCACACCACTTTAATGGGGCTTAGTGTCATCAGTTTGTAAGTAGTAGACATTTGAATTAGCAACCCCTGAGTACCATGTGGACTTAATAAGGGCTTGGATTTCTTACCCCCACCACCCCCCAGTGTGATGGAAGCATATAATGGTTTTAAATGATGGAGTGACTTAATCTAAAATTTTAAGATCATTCTGACTACTCTGTGAGAATAGATTGTGATGAGGGTGAGGGGATAGGCAACAATGAATGAGATGCTGGTGGCTAGGGCCAGTGGAGAAAGAAGTGGACAGATTTTAGGCATATTTTAGAGGTAGAATGGACAGGACTTAACTAGTGCATTAGATTTGAGGGAAAGGAATGACAATGAATGATGGCCCCCAGGGTTTGCCTTGAGCATCTGGGTGGGTAGTGGTGCCATTTACTGAGACAAGTCTCAGTAAAATTTATTGAGACAAGTTCTCAGTAAACCTGAGAACAGGTTTGAGAAGAAAATCAAAGCTCTGTTTGAGAGTTATTCTATTTTGGACACCTATTAAACCTCGAAGTGGAATGTTAGGTAGGTACTTAGCCAAGCCAGAAGCTTAGGAGGAAGGACAAGGTTGGAGATATAAATTGGGAATCTTCAGTACACAGGTGATATTTAAACCCATAGGAATGGATGAGATCACTGAGGGAGGAAATGTAGATATAAAACTGAATGTGGGGAGTTTTGGCATTTTTTTTTCCCCCTTTTTTTTTTTTTGAGAGATGGAGTCTTGCTTTGTCACCCAGGCTGGGGTGCACTGGTGCGATCTCAGCTCACTGCAACCTCTGCCTCCCGGGTTCAAGTGATTCTCCCACCTCGGCTTCCCAAGTAACTGGGATTACAGGCATGCACTGCCAGGCCCAGCTAATTTTTGTGTTTATTTATTTATTTTCTAGTAGAGATGGGGTTTCACTATATGTTGGCCAGGCTGGTCTTAAACTCCTGACCTCAGGTGATCCGCCTGCCTCAGTCTCCCAAAGTGCTGGGATTATAGGTGTGAGCCACACAGCCCGGCCCTTGTTCAAATTTAAATCTTCTATACTCCTGGTATTATATAGGCTAAGACTATTAGTTCGAAAAAGCAATCTAAGGTTATCTATCTAGTCATCATTCCTATGAATATTTACTCAACCCCCCGGCACAACATCTAGCCAAACAGCTAGCCAATTGGTACTTGACAGGAAACACACTATTTCCATTAAGATCTTCCATTCTGTGTTCATCAGAATGAGTCCATGTCTGGCTGGACTCTCACCAGACCCCTGTGAGGAATTACATATCTTCATGTTATAGTGGAGCAAATTAAGGCTCAGAGACATGAGCCAAGCTCATTAACCATTAAAAAGTAGAGTGGAAACTTGAATGCAGGTCTTCTGTTCCAATTCCATGGTTCTTTCCATTACTACACACTAATCTAGTGATTGTTACTATTAAAGATTTTAGGCCTAAATTACATTTTCTCCTGCAATTTTAATTCCATAGCCTATTTTGTCCCCTGGTGTGTAAAAAGCAGTAATTACTTCCATCATTAAATAGCAAATTTTAAGGCACTGGACACAGATACATTTGAAGGCTACTTGGATCCGCATTTTTTCCTTCTTCCAAGTTAGGTGTATTGATTTAAATTGGTAAGTGAAGCTGGGTGAGAGGATACCTTTATAGTATTTACACTTCTATATTGTGATGATGGCTGAATTAGGGGGCTTTCTAAAAAGAGAAGGGACTGGAAGGAGTCCTTGGGAACAATTCTTACAATTTAGGAACAATGATGGTATTCAGTCAAATGCCAAAACCTGTTTGACTTAGCTCAGAGAAGGTATAATAATGGAGCTTTCCAATGTATAAGTGGATCAGGAAAGATGCACTAGCTCCTGTAGCTGTTTACACTGACCTCAAATTCAACAAGGACTCATTGAGCACTGATTATGGTCAGGGCCCCATTTCTACTGCTCTGGAATGGAGCTTTGAGAATCAGATTTTGAGGGCTTCCTAAAAGCCCAATGGGGGGTTCACGTTAGTAACACACACCTGGCACTTATTAAGCAGTGTTACAATTAAGGACTCAATCTACAAGGGTAAATTGTTAACTTAGAAAGTTCACATTCCTTAGAGCTTGGTATTTAAGGTCCTCCACATCCCACTGTTGCCAGGAGTGAACCCTCTGCTCTAGTTAAATTGGATGCTGGCTACCTCCTGAGCATGTTTATCTTTTCACCTGGATACCTTACGCTTTAGATCTATGCTGTTTTTTATAGTAGTCACTAGTCACATATGGCTATTCAGTACTTGAAGTATGGCCAGTCTAAACTGAGATGTGCTGTTAGATACACCTAGATTTCAAAAATGTAGTAAAAATAATCGATTTTAAATATTAACTACATATTGGAACATTAATATTCTGGGCATAAAACACATTAAAACTACTTTTACTTCTTTTTACTTTGGCTACTAGAAAATGTAAAATTTATGGCTTGCATTATATTTTTTGACTTTCTGAGACAGGGTCATACTGTTACCCATGCGGGAGTGCAGTGGCACAATCACAGTTAACTGCAGCCTCCACCTCCCCTGGCACAGGTGATCTTCCCACCTCAGCATCCCAAGTAGCTGGGACTACAGGTGCATGCCACCACACCCAGATAATTTTTTTTTTGTATTTTTTGTAGAGATGGGGTTTTGCCATGTTGCCCAGGCTGGTCTTGAACTTCTGAGGTCAAGTGATCCACCCGCCTCGGATTCCCAAAGTGCTAGGATTATAGGCATGAGCCACCACACCCAGCGGCATTATATCTTTAGTGGACAGTACTCCACTAGATTGTTAGCCAAGGCAGTACTGGGCCCACCATTCAAACCTATATTTGTACTTTCTTACTGGCGTAATAGTGATGAAGGAAGGGGAAATTCTGAGTAACAGCGGGTTCACACATTTGAGGCAAGCAAGCCATGTCTCATCAAATGGAAGCTGCTATCACTGATCAGCTAGCAGCTCAAGGAAGAAGACTGCCAAAGGCAGCAGGACAATTATTAATAATAATTTGTGGTACACAGCAACTGTTCAATAAGTGTTAGATAACTCCTTTTAGGCAGTGACACTAAATACAAAATCTTGAATTCCGTACTTATCCCTCCTGTTTTTCTTCTTCCACTTCTAGTCACTAAAATTTAGCTATTCCTTTGAAAATCTTTCACTTCTATTCCTTTTCTCCCAATCCACAGCTAATCAGTCTTGTCACCTCGCTTTTGAAAATAGTTTTCAAATAGCTCCTAGTTTCCTTCTACCCTCCCTGTGTTCATTCCATTCTATATACTGTTAATAATGTTCCATGATATTTCTTTGCAGATGTCATTCTTCGCTCAAAACCTCCATTTTCATATGAACTTCATAAAAAGTTTTCACTTAGCATTCAAAGCTTTTCAAACCTTATCTCTTGGTACTCCTCTCCATAAAAAAGGAATTTAGGGAAACTAGATTGAGTTAATATATATAAAGCACTTACAACCATGCCTGGCCCATACTAAGAACTATATAGGTCTTAGCTATTATTATTATTGCTCACTTTTATTTGAATATGCTGTATGCATTTCTACTCCAGAACACTGCTAAGTCCCTTTTCCTATTTGAGTACCTCAATCTCTAAAGGAAGGAGTGATTTAAACTATCAATGACCAGCAAGAGCCAATTGTTACTGCTGGAAAGACAACTTAAATATTCTTTCTACAATAGATAGGACCTGCAAACAAGGAACTCTAATTTACCACCAAATAACAAAATTTAAGGCTGGATGAAATAAATAAAAGATAATATTTCCTTCATTCAAGAAACAGCAAATTTATGGAATGTTATTTAAAGAAAAACATAAATGGGTTCTGGATTTAGGGCAGTTACTCTTTAAATCCTGGCATAGATTAGAATAACCTGAGAGCTTTAAAAAACACAGTTGCCTGGACCTCATCCCAGATTTATTGAAGGGGAAGGCCTCAGACACTTGAATTTATTTTAATGCTTCATAGGTGATTCTCACGTGCAACCACATCTGAGCAGCATTGGTCTAGTCAAGGGAAACTGGTTTAGGGAGGCTGATCGTGTTTGGCATATATTTTTCTGTTTTTAAAATGAAGCATACTAAGAGAACTGATTAACCTACAATGACTTATGTGTTCATGAAGTGTTCTAAAAAAACCAAAGAAACAAGAAAACAAACCTTTTCAACTTGATGTAGGGTTCAGAAGATAAATACATTACAAATACCACAGTGAGCATTCATCTAAAAGTTTGCCGTTTGGTCTATTAATTAAAAAAATTCAAAACAGAATTACTTAATATAGATTTAACTATGTACAATATTTACAACGAAATTATACAGTTACGTCTGTTGTGGAAAAGTTGGCATTTTGGTATATAACACTACAGAAATTTCAAAAACAACTTTACCTCAAAAACATTTTACACAAATTTTCCAAAGTGCTGTAGCTCACTGGCTCATTTTATCTTAACAATCCAGTTTAGCAATCCAGGTACCCAAATCTCTAGGCATGAAGTAACCGATATACTACTGAGAGACAGCCCTTTTTATACAATAGCAGAGGCTGTGAGAAACCTTGGGTCTTTAAAACCTTATAACAATGCCCCTTTCACTCTCCAATCCTGAGACAACAAATCCTGTAGTTCCCCCTCATCATCGCTGTCAGCATTCTCTTCTTCCTTTTTCTGCAGTTCTTTTATGGTCAGGATTTCTTTAAGTTTATTTTTTATTTCATCCTGGCGATTCCGTAGCTTTTCCACCCGTCGGTAACACTCTATCTGCTCATCAATCTCCCCAATCTGGCGGTCCAACCGTCCCTCCTCATCCTCTTCGGCAACTATGGCTTCGGAAATAGTGTTGACCTGCCTCATGGCTTTTTGGAATTCGTCCCACTCTTTGTCCATCTGATCTTTTGGGGCATCAACCTTTCGCACCCTTGCATCTACCTCAGGGTCGTCAAAAAAACCTTCCGGTAACGCTTCCGCGGTGTTTTCTCTCCTTTCCACCACTTTTTCATGTATTTCTGCTTTCTCAATTGACCCTGAATGAGGAATTATGGGGGCCTTGGGAGGATTAGTACTAAAGAAATCGTCTGGCAGCACACTACTTGTTACCTCCCGCGAAGAAGAAACTGAGTGCTCCTTGCCCTGTGCGTCGGACAGCGGCTTGCTGGCGTCCCCCCTTTTTCTTTCTCCATCTCCTTCCTCCTCCTCTTCCTCCTTCTCCTCATCTTCATAATCGGGGAGTAAACTGAGTCCTGAAGGCTTACTGGAAGTCGTTCTAATGAACTCCTTTCCTGTTTTGTCAAAGTTGGTGGGCAACGCAGATGTGGAGGGCTGTACCTGAGGCACCAAGGTGGCCTTCGCTCTCTTGGCGTCTTGGCCGTCTGCGTCCGGCGCTTTCCTCTTGACGGTCTGAGGCGCTGAGCTGGCGGACGAACCCTGGCTGGCTTCCTTCGCGCCTTTCAGCTCGGCCACTTTCTCTCGGTGCTGCTTTCCCAGGACGTGAGTCTGCCACAGGAGCTCGCTCTTAACCGGGGTGTTACACAGGGCACAACTCAGCTGCCCCAAACGGTTGTACTTCGCGAATGGAGATTCTATCCGTTTCCGATTGGTGCTCAGACGCTGCTTCTCCTTCATTAACCGCCGCAATTCTTCCTGATTTACCACTCGCTTCCCGGCCGGAGTCCTAGCGGAGGCGGAGGACGCCATCTTGGCGACCAGACCCAAAGCGATTCTGGTTTCCGTCCGGCGAGGCATGATAATGTCACTTCCTGTAAGGGCGATGATTGGCCGAGGTTCAAGAGAGCGTGGCGTCGCGTTGGCGTTTTTGCTCGGAATCGCGACTAAGGCTTTTTGTTTTTTTTCCCTGTGAACGATTAGGCTATGGCTGCGATAAAGGTCGTAAACTCCAAGGCTGAGGTGGCGCGGGCCCAGGCAGCTTTGTCTGTCAATATATGCGCCGCCCGAGGGTTGCAGGATGTGCTGCGGACCAACTTGGGTCCTAAAGGCACCATGAAAATGTGAGATGGCGGTTGGAGCGGCCGTTAGGCGGCCGGGGGCTTGTTGGGTGTCCTGGAGCCCTCTGAGGCAGGCGTCCGTGGAGCGCTGTGGATGTTCTTGCGAGCTTGATTTCCCTCATTCTCATCCCTGTCCTGAGGGTATTTCTCGCCTGGTGCAGGTGGAGGAGAAAAGCCTCCCCTAGAAGGCCCCAGGAGTGAAGTTGTGACGCTCCCCCGACACCCTACTGTTCGTCAAGGTTCATATGCAGTTAGTCAGTTAATTTAGTGTCTCATTGGAAACATAAAGCATTTAACTTCTCTGCTGTTTAAGACTGTATACCTTTAGTCCATAAATTCAACAAGTAGTTTTGTATTTTGTGTGGCAATGTATTGTAGTGGAGAGGGCACAGGCTTTGGAGCCAGGAGGGCATGAGGTCAAATCCAATTTCTACTTGAATACCCTGTCTGTGGTTCTTCATATCTATTCATCTTTTCAGTATATATTAAGCACCATTTTCTTTAGACAAGAGTGAGGAAAAGAGACCAGTGAGGAAAAAAGGGTATAAGAGGAGAGACACATCCTCATAGTAATGAACAAAATAAATTAATATTAATGGTAAAATAAGTCACTTAGGTACTAGTTGCTGGGACACAGAAATGATCAAGATACAGTTTCTGTTCTTAAGGAGATGTGGTAGAGACGGATGTGGTAGAGTAGGATGTGCTAATTATATATAGATGCATATGATTATGCTGAGGAAAGGGAATAATTACTGATGGCAGAAGGACAAGCATCTTAAATGATGTTTGATCAGAGTCTTGGGTTGGAAGAGGGAGTAAAGGCCTTCTGGGCAGAGTAATTTCAGGAATAAGAAAGACCAATGGTTCAAATCCAATAAAAAAACAAAACAAAACATGGTGTATTAAGGGAACCAGAAGATTTGCTTGTGGGAAAGTAGATGAGTCAGGGAAGAGAGACATAAACCAGATTGAGAAAGGTCAAGTGTCTGCTGTGTTTGGATTTTAACTTGAAAATGATGAAAAACATAAAAATCATTGGAGGACTTTTGATCAGGGAACTGACTGAATCACGTTGCCTTTTAGAAAGAAAAATGTGTGGAGGGTATCTTTTAGTTTGGAGATAACTGGATGCTATCCAAGGTAGAGATGATAACAGTGGAGATGGAGAGAAAGGGGCAGATTCAAGAGATATTTAGATAGTAGAATTGATAGAACTTGGTGATCTAATAAATGCAGGGATGAGGGAAACTAAGTTGAGTGAGTGACTGAATGAAAACGTTCACCAAGATAAAAACCTGCAGGAAATTTGCAAATTTGTGCTTTGTAGACTTCCAAGTATTCTTCGACCAAACCACTTTTCATAACTCATCAACTGCTTTTATCTTTAAATCTGTAAATGGTCCATTTGGAATGAAATTGCCATAAGCTGTCCATCTGGGGAGAAATGATTCTGTGAGCTGCAAATGGTGGTAATTACCATGGCATATTCCCATGGTACAGTAGTTTTCCAAGCCCAGTTCCCTCTGTTGAGGATAATGGGATGGCAAGCACTGGGAGTGTCTTCCTACCACATGAAATTAATATCGTTGTTCTCTGAACAGGCTTGTTTCTGGTGCAGGTGACATCAAACTCACCAAAGATGGCAATGTGCTGCTCCAAGAGATGGTGAGCTGATGCTGCTGACTTTAATAAACCTTAATAAGCCTTAATTAGGAGCATAGTAGAACTTGTGTATCTGTAAGCCAAGGCTGTCAGCTAAATACTGCAGTCTTGAGATATGCTTGTTGAATTAGACTTCAATAAAAAAATTTTTTTTGGCCGGGTGTGGTAACTCACTCCTGTAATCCCAACACTTTGGGAGGCTGAGGTGGCCAAATTGCTTGAGCCCAAGAGTTCAAGACCAGGCTTGGTGAAACCCGTCTCTACAAAAAAAAAAAATTTGCTCAGTGTAGTAGCGTGTGCCTGTAGTCCCAGCTACTCAGGAGGCTGAGGTAAGAGGATCACTTGAGCCCAGGAGGCCAAGGCTGCAGTGAACTTGAGATCGTGCCACTGCACTCCAACCTAGGTGACAGAGTGAAACCCTGTCTCAAAAAAAAAAAAAAAAGAGTTTTTTTTTCTGGCTCTTTCCAAGTCTTTGTATACTTATACATACATACGTTGTATACTTAGGCATACTTATAAATTAATAATATCTTTTAGGGTACTGCCTTATGTTCTTTGTAATTATGGAAAAATAAAAATATTCTTTGCAAGTTTAATAAATGTATTCATTTTTAGATTGAAGGATTTAATCTTATTTTAGAAATGTCATTGCATTCTGAAGCAAAGACTTATGAAATCTTCAGACCTCATTACCTGTCACTTTTAAAATTTTGGACTTGACATTTAGGTATTGATATTACAAAACTTGTAAACTTGTAGAATGAAGCTTATTTCATTTTTTAATTTTACTGCTGACCCCTAGGTTATCTTGTTTTTGGTGACCTACTTTCTTATCTCATCCTCTCTTTTTAAATCTGTTGCTTGCTTTTTCCAGCAAATTCAACATCCAACAGCTTCCTTGATGGCAAAAGTAGCAACAGCTCAGGATGACGTCACAGGAGATGGTACTACTTCAAATGTTCTAATTATTGGAGAGTTATTAAAACAAGCTGATCTGTACATTTCTGAGGTATTAGAATTTAACAGAGTTTATATGTTATTTTGAATGGCAAGTTATTTTTTTAACTAGTAAAATGATTGCATTTTAGATGTTATTTTTGTTTTATTTAATTAATTAACTATTTATTTTGAGACGGAGTCTCACTGTGTCACCCAGGCTAGAGTGCGGTGACAGGATCTCGACTCACTGCAACCTGCGCCTCCCAGATTCAATTGATTCTCGCGCTTCAGCTTCCCGAGTAGCTGGGATTACAAGCCACCATGCCCGGCTAATTTTTGTATGTTTATTAGAGACAGGGTTTCACTATCATGGCCAGCTTGGTCTCGAGCTCCTGACCTCAGGTGATCCACCAGCCTTGGCCTCCCAGAGTGCTGGGATTACAGACATAAGCCATCACGCCTGGCCTAGACAGTTAATTTTAATTAAGATATTCTTGGACAATTATAAATGGAAATAATAATGAACTTTGTTGGCCAAAATACTGCCTTTTATTGGAATTATATACCTCTTTTAAAAATGAAATATTTAAGAGACATAAAAAAAGTAAAAAATTACCCATGTATCCATGGGTAATTAAGAAAGAAAACACCATAGATAAAGTTGAAACCAAATTATGCACCCTTATAAAACAACTGGAGAAAAATTATTGAAGGTTTTCTTTATTGTGAATTTACCTTCCTTTCTAGTTTCATTTTTCTTTATAAATCATCTACTTCAGCCAGACTCCACCATTCACTGGCCTCTGAAAACATCATGTACATTTCTACCTTTCTCTAATTAAGTATCTCTTTTCTCCGTATCTGAACTTTTTCTGTCTTTCAGGGACCATTTCAGCAAAGCATAACCTGGTCAAAATGATTCTCTGTGTTTCGTTTAGTATTGGGAATTTTCTATTAATTCAGTACTTGCAACTTAGGATGCTTTTGGCTGTAAACAACTTGACTCAAACTCACTTGAACAATAAGGAAATGATTATCTCCCATAATAGAAAATGGAGAGATGAGGCAGACTGGTTGTGTTATAAAATTCAGTCTTCAAGTACACAGATTCTTTGTCTCTTATCTCTTCCACTCACAGTGTTGTTTCATCCTAAGAGTATTTCCATCTGGAAAGTAAGAGGCCGGGTGCGGTGGCTCAAGCCTGTAATCCCAGCACTTTGGGAGGCTGAGGTGGGTGGATCACCTGAGGTCGGGAGTTTGAGACCAGCCTGACCAACATGGAGAAACTTCATCTCTACTAAAAATACAAAATTAGCTGAGTGTGGTGGCGCATGCCTGTAATCCCAGCTACCCAGGAGGCTGAGGCAGGAAAATCGCTTGAACCCAGCAGGCGGAGGTTGCAGTGAGCCGAGATTGTGCCATTGCATTCTAACCTGGGCAATAAGAGTGAAACTCTATCTCAAAAAAAAAAAAAAAAAAAGGTAAGGCTGGCTGGGCACAATGGCTCATGCTTGTAATCCCAGCACTTTGGGAGGCTGAGGCAGGAGGATCACTTGAGCCCAGGAATTTGAGACCAGTCTGGGCAACATAGTGAGACCCCGTCTTTAGAAATAATAAAACAAATTAGGCTTGATGGCATTCCGCATGTGGTCCTAGCTACTTGGGGAGCTGAGGCAAGAGGACTGCCTGAACCCAGGAGGTGCAGGCCGCAGTAAGCCATGATCGTACCAGTGTACTCCAGCCTGGGTGACAGAGTGGGATTCAGTCTCAAAAAGAGAGAGAGAGAGAAGAGAGAGGACAGGACAGAGGAGAGAGAAGAAAGACTGTCAGAGGAAATTAGGCAGACAGCAAGATAAAGCCATTCAGGAGGCTTTTCTTTGGTATGATTGGGCCAACTTTAGTATTATGTCCATCCCAAGCCAGTAACAGTTTTTATGGGAATTGACTTAGACTAATCAGGATCCACTCCTTGAGCTGGGGATAAGATCAGCTTTCTCCAAAGCACAAGTGGGAGAGGGAAACCCAAACCAAATTAGGGTTGGGCTAGGAAGAAAGGAGTTTGGCAAGGGTGAGATGCTAACAGACATTATGAAACTCTGTGGCTGTACAGTGATAGAGCTGGGCACAGTATATGATAGAATCACTGAGGCTGGAGGGACATCCTAAACCAGCCTGAAGTAGTCAGGAAAAACTCTCTGGAGGAAGTAAGACCTGGCCTAAATCTTCAGGATGAGGAGAAGTGAACCAGACAAAAAAGCGAGGGTTGAGGAGAATGACTTTGCAGGCAGAAGGAACAACATAAGCAAAGTCACAGAGAAGACAAACAACATGGTGTTGTATGAAGCTACAGGCATTTTGATGTTGCTGGAATTTCAAGGGATGTGAACAGTAGTGGAGAAGAGGCTGGAGAGGGAAGTGGGAGCCAGATCACAGAGGGCATATAGTATGCTAACCAAGAAGCTTAGACTTCATCCAGTGGGATTACATACCAAACATAGAAACATACTAATGACTGATACGGTCAGATTGGCATTTTAAATATTTGGGGGATGGTTTTAAGGGAGTCTAGACCAGAGGTTTTCATAGTAATCTGGATGAAAGATTGTGGGGTCCTAGCTTGAAGACATTTATGAAAATGGTTAATAACATAGCCTCTAGAGTCACGTCTCATGGGTTTAAACAACCTGGTTTCACTTATTATCTTGGTCATCTAAGGCAAATTACATTATCCCTTTAAGCCTCGGTCTTCTCATCTGTGAAACAGGAAAAATAATAATACCCACTTCATAGTGTGGCTAGAGAACTAAATAACTCGTGTAAAAGTCTTAGTCATGTCCAGCACAAATACTCAATGTCAACTTTTAAAGATTATTATAGGATCGATGTAAAGAAAAGAAGTAAGGGAATGAATTAGACCAAGTGCTAGCTTTTACAAGTTTGTGTATTATTTTATGGAACAAAAAATACTATGAAAAATATTTTGTCATGATTTTAGACCTATAGAAAAGTTGCAAGCACACTACAAAGAATTCCTGTATACTTTTTACACTGATTCTTATTTTCTTTTCTCTCATTCTCTGCCTGCCGTGTTCTCTTCCTTAGTATCAGTGTACATATTCTTTTTAAACTCTATGTTGCAGACGTGATCTAAATATTTTAGTGTATGTTTCTTAAAACCAGGGAATTATATAATTGCAGTATAGTTATAAAAACCAGGAAATTAATAACAGTAACACATTGATACATTAGTATTATCTAATCTGCATTCTATTCAAATTTCACCACTTGTATTAATAGTGTTCTTTATAGAAAAAAAAGATCTAAGTTCATGCATTGCATTCAGTTGTTGTGTTCCTTTACTATCCTTTAAGCTAGACTAGTTCCTGAGGTGCCTTTTATGCTTCATGATATTGCTACTTTTAAGGAGTACCAGCCAGTTATTTTATAGAAAGTCCCTCAATGTGGATTTGCCTATTTCCTCAATTAAACTTAGGTTATAGATTGTTGGCAGGAATACCACAGAAGTGTTGTGTTCTACTGAATGCATCATATCAGCAGGCATGTAATGCCTGTCTCTCTCATTACTGTGATGTTAACTTTGATCACTTGGTGAAGTGGTAGACACCACAGTGTTCTGTCTGCCACTTTTCCCCAATTCAGTGGTGGTTCTTTTCCTCTACATTGAAAAGAATATTTTTATGTGTGCCCATTCAGAAGGGCACCACATGCCAACAATGTAGTCATAATTTTTGGAAATAAAAAGGACTTTTGTAATTTTTTGTACTAGACTTGAAGCTTTACTGTAAGTTTGAGATTATTTCAAGTATGAAGCACTAAAATGACTTATAGATTATGTACACTTATATATCATGGCATTAATGTGAGTAACTGGTTTTGGGCATAATAGACAGGTTGGTTACTTTTACATTGGATGACTTATTTTATAATTTATAATTTTACGTTGATGTAACAGGGCCTGCACCCTAGAATAATAACTGAAGGATTTGAAGCTGCAAAGATAAAAGCACTTGAAGTTTTGGAGGAAGTTAAAGTGACAAAGGAGATGAAAAGAAAAATCCTCTTAGATGTAGCTAGAACATCATTACAAACTAAAGTTCATGCTGAACTGGCTGATGTGTTAACAGAGGTATGTTATTAAACTTTTGCATTCAGAATAAATATAGCCTAGCGCATGGTGATATTTTTATTTTTTCTGTAAGATAATCAAGGATTGCATGTGGTTTTTTGGACATAAAATACGGAAGACAGACAGTTATTGTATAGGCCTAAGTGTAGATTAGATTTGACTGGTGAGAACAGTATTTGTAATTTTCAGAAGTATCATACTAGGCCTTTTTTTTGTGTGTGTGTGACAGAGTCTCACTCTGTTGCCGAGGCTGGAGTGCAGTGGCATGATCTTGGCTTACTGCAATCTCCACCTCCCAGGTTCCAGCGATTCTCCTGCCTCAGCCTCCCAGCTAATGCCTGTAGCTGGGATTACAGGCATGTGCCACCATGCCCAACTAATGTTTGTATTTTTAGTAGAGAGCGGGTTTCACGATGTTGGTCAGGCTGGTCTCCAACTCCTGACCTCAAGTGATCCACCCACCTTGGCCTCCCAAAGTGCTGGGATTACAGGTGTGAGCCACCGCGCCCGGCCTCATACTAGGTCTTTTTTTTTTTTTTTTTTTTTTAATGTGACTTGATAGTTGGGAGAGGTTTTGCTGCCTGCAGATCATCTCCTGTGGAAGCTCTTGAATAGTATACTGGTCTTTTTAAACCTAGAGGTCCATATTATGTGAGGTGACACATGAGATAGTATTTTAAACAGTGTACCTTGTAGATAAGGTTACCGATATAATGAAATGTGAGTGATGTGATATATTAATATATTAATATTCACATCTTGGAAATGTATATTTGTCTAGTTTATTTCTTTTACTTATTTATTTTTTTGAGACAGAGTCTTACTCTGTCACCCATGCTGGAGTGCGGTGGCATGATCTTGGCTCGTCGCAACCCCCGTCTCCCAGGTTCAAGTGATTGTCCTACCTCAGGCTCCCAAGTAGCTGGGATTACAGGCACGTACCACCATGCCCAGCTAATTTCTGTATTTTTAGTAGAGATGGGGGTCTCACTATGTTACCAAAGCTTGTCTTGAACTCCTGACCTCAAATGATCCACCCGCCTGGGGCTTCCAAAGTGCTGGGATTACAGGCATGGGCCACCACATCTGGCCAGTGTTTTGTTTATTTCTAAAGATAGGATATATATTATATAGGCCGGGCATGGTGGCTCACGCTTGTAATCCCAGCAATTTAGGAGGTCAAGGTGGGGAGACCACCTGAGGTCAGGAGTTTGAGACCAACCTGGCCAACATGGTAAAATCCTGTCTCTACTCAAAATACATAAATTAGCTGGGCGTGGTAGCAGGCATCTGTAATCCCAGCTACTTGGGAGGCTAAAGCAGGAGACTCACTACGGGAGGGAGGGGGAGTTTGCAGTGAGCCGAGATTATGCCACTGCACTCTAGCCTGGGTGACAGAGTGAAACTTTGTCTCAAAAAAAAAAAGAAAACCAAAAGAAAAAAATGTATTTTATATAAAGATAAGATTGGCTGTATATTTTGGGAAGGCTTTTATCAGGTGGCAATGATTTGATATCCTTATTGTTTCTCAGCTTTGTAGTTTCTGAAACTTGAATATATTTGTTTACCAGGAATGATAAATTCTTAGGAAACAAATTCACAAGACATTGACATACAAAGCAGAATATTATCTTAATAGTTTACTTGGAGAACTACAAATGCCAAATGTACTGGAATACCTGAGTTGTTTCTGGTCGATTCTCCTTACCATTAAAAAAACCAACTTGGGAAATCAGATTAAGATCAGACAATTTCTTGATGAGCAGAGTCAGAAGAAAGGCTCTGCTGTGTTTTTTGCTGTTAGAGTACTTAAATGGCCTAAAATCTTCATGCTGCTAGGGCACCCATTCTGTTTTAGAGTTACAGAAACACCGCTATTCTCACTATCCAATGGCCTTCGTCTTATTTGTTATTTGCCTCTAAAATAAAATATTATGTTACCTAAAATTTGCCTAAAATATTAGGCAAAGTGTTCTAATATACCATTTTTTTCTGCTTTATGTATATTTTAGGGTAGTTATAACTTACCTCTTAATTTCTGCAGTTATTAATTATTTTTATATCATTTTCTGAGCTAAGCAATAAGGTGTGTTGTGCTATGCTTCTTAAATTGTATATCCCTGATCATATGTGTCAGAATAAATGAGATGTATCTTTTTGAAGTGTCAATTTTACTTTACAATTTTTGGGGAAAACATTATTTTTACATTGAGATAAACATATTATGGGATGACATGGAAACTTTTCATGATCAAACATAATACTTTAAAATTTCCTGTTATTATAGCCAGCAAATTGGAACTATTACTTTAGATTATATTTCCTTCTTTTCCATTAAGGTGCCCTTTGGTGGAAAAGTTTGGATAGTCTTGGTATGATAGAAAGAGTAGTCACTTGGCAGTTAAGGAGCCCTGAATTCTAGTCCTGGCCCTGTTACTAGCTGTTAGATCTTATTTAAAAACTGTAACTTCTTAAGGTCTTATCTCAGTTGCCTTGTGTATAAAATAAAAGGTTTGGACCTAACGATCTCTGAAGTTTCTTTAGACTCTAAAGTGTCTGTTGGCATTGATTATTATTAGTGTCCATAATAAAGTGGCACATATTGGTCTTGCCCTATGTTTTGAATCCTGAAGGCTTTTATCTCCTTAGTCTGGTGATAGATTGTTTGGGCCATTGGTTTATTTTAGTAGTCCAAATAACTTACTGTTCTCATTCACTTCTCTTTCAGGCTGTGGTGGATTCTGTTTTGGCTGTTAGAAGACCAGGTTACCCTATTGATCTCTTCATGGTAGAAATCATGGAGATGAAGCATAAATTAGGAACAGATACAAAGTAAATTACATAAGCTTTGACAACATATGGGTTCTAGAATTTTTTAAAGATATTCTTTTGTTAAATTTATTACTTACTTTTATTCAACATAAATATATTCATTCAACATATATTAAGTCACTGCTCTGGGTGATGGGAATGAAGAGTAAACAGAACAGAATTTCTTTCCCAAAGAAGCTTATGTTTCTAATTTAAATAGAAAAAAAAATCATGTGTGTTATTTTATAGTGGACAGGGAAGGCCACTCTGATAAGAACCTAAAGAGCTAAGAGGTCTCTGAAGAAACAAGGCAGCTAGCCATGTGCACATCTGGAGCAGGAGGGTTCTAAGCAGAAGGAATGACCTCTGAAGAGGTCCTGAGGCAGAAGTGTGACTGGGTTATTACAGTGTGCCTGGAGCACAGGGAGAGGAGGTGAGGCAAAAGGGGCCAGATTGTGGAGTACCTTGTTGATTTTGGATTTACTCTTTTAAAATTTTGTATTATAGAAAATTGTGAACATATATAGAGAGAACAGAATAGGGAACTTCTACATACCTGTTAGCTATCTTTATCAATTTCCAATATATGAAGCAATCTTATTTCAACCATACCCCTCCCTCTTTCACCCTGCCACCCTGGATTATTTTGAAGCAAATTCAGACATCATATACCACCTCTAAATATCATGTAATCCATAAAACATAAACCCCCTGCTTTTACCTAATACATTCACAAAACATTATAACACGTTAAAAATTAATAACTCATTAATACCATCACATTTCCAGTTTATAGTCCAATTTGTCTAACAGTTGTCTCAGATTTTTTTCAGTTTTGTTTGGATTAAGATCTACACACAGTCTGTATACTGCACTTAGGTGATATCTCTTTTTAAGTCTCTGTTAATTTGTAGGTTCTTTCTTCCTCTCATTGTTTTTCACCTTGATAATTATTTTGGAAAAGGGAAGATTTTTGATTACTCATGCAATTTTCTTTTTTTCTTCTCTCATTTTTTTTGAGATGGAGTCTCACTCTGTCCCCCAGGCTGGAGTGCAATGGCGTGATCTCAGCTCACTGCAGCCTCCACCTATTGGGTTCAAGTGATTTCCCTGCCTCAGCCTCCTGAGTAGCTGGGACTACAGGTGCGTGGCACCACGCCCGGCTATTTTTTTGTATTTTAGTAGAGACAGGTTTCACCATGTTGGTCCGGCTGGTCTCGAACTCCTGACCTCGTGATCCACCTGCCTCCGACGTCCAAAGTGCTAGGATTACAGGTGTGAGCCACTGCTCACGGCCCCACTCATGGAATTTTCTTAATGGCTATAGGACTAGTTAGGTTTTCTACTTATTTTTTGAATCATTTTGGTAAGTAACATTTTCTAAGAAATGTGTCCATTTTGTTTAACTCTGAAATTTTTGGTATAAAATGTTCATAAATATCCTTATAGGCATACAATTTTTATAAGGATCCTGTTTGCAGGATCTATAGTGGTATCACCATTTATTTCTGGTGTTATTTATGCCTTCCTTTCCTTTTTTTGTTAATTTTTTCCCAGAGGTTTGTTTTTGTTTCACAGTGTCTTTCTCTTTATTATTAATTTGCTTTTTTGGAATTTTGTGGGGACTTTTTTGCTGCTTCTGTTTTATTGTGATAGCTAGTTAGGTTATTAATTTTCAGTCTCCTGCTTTTGAATACAGTACTTAAAACCTTACATTTTTCTCGAAGTACTATTCAGCTGCATCCTTCAAGTTTTGATATGTAATCTTATAATTTTTATTCAGTTTAAAATATTTTCTAATTTCAACTAGAAGTGTGCTGCTTAACATGGGGAAATTTTAGTTATTACTGATACCTAGCTTAATTACGTTATGGTCAGAGAATATGCTCTATGAGATTTTTGCTCCTTTGAAATTTGTTGACACTTGCTTTATGGCTCAGTGTATAGTCAGCTTTTGTTATGTTAATGTTTCGTGTACTTGAAAAGAATGTATGCTGCAGTTGGTAGGTACAATTTTATATACATGTCCATTAAGATCAAGGTATCCTGTTAATCCTGTTGTTCAGAACTTCTATATCCTTATTGATGTTTTGACTGCTTATTCTGTCAATTACTGAGTGAAATGTATTAATATCTTTCAATATTATTGTGCACCTGTTTATATTTTACTTTAGTTTTGAGTAAACTGAATAAAACTGAATAAAAATTAGTTTTGAGAGTTTTGCTTTATATATCTTGAGACAATCTTTTTAGATGCATAGTTTTTAAACTATTACATATTTCCTGGGGCATTGAACTTTTGTGCTGATACGAAGCAACTTTTTTCTAGTAATATCTTTAAAAGTATAATGTAACTGATATTGATAATTATATTTAAAAAATCTTTACATGTTAAAAGCTGTTGTACCAGCTTGCCTGCCTGCCTGCCTGCCTGCCTTCCTTCCTTCCTTCCTTCCTTCCTTACCTCCTTCCTTCCTTCCTTTCTCTCTCTCTTTCCTTCCTCCCTCCCTCCCTCTCTTCCTCCCTCCCTTTCCTTCCTTTCCTTTCTTTTTTATTGAGATGATGTTTCGCTCTTGTTGCCTAGGCTGGAGTGCAACGGTGTGATCTTGGCTTACCGCAACCTCTGCCTCCTGGGTTCAAGCGATTCTTCTGCCTCAGCCTCCCAAGTAGCTGGGATTATAGGCATGTGCCCCCATACCCAGCTAATTTTTTTTTTTTTTTTTTAGTGGAGACAGGGTTTCTCCATGTTGGTCCAGCTGGTCTTGAACTCCCGACCTCAGGTGATCCACCCACCTCTGCCTCCCAAAGTGCTGGGATTGTGGGCGTGAGCCACTGTGCCTGGCTTTGCTTTGCTTTGCCTTGCCTTTTGCCTTTTTGCCTTTTGCCTTTGGCCTTTCCTTCCCTTTCCTTTTTTTTTTTTTTCTGAGACAGGGTCTTGCTCTGTCACCCAGGCTGGAGGGCAGTGGCACAATTATGGCTCACTGCAGCCTTGACCACCTGGGCTCCAGTGATCCTCCCACCTTAGCCTCTTGAGTAGCTGGGACCACAGATATATGCCACCATGTCTGGCTAATTTTTGTATTTTGTGTCAAGACAGGATTATGCCATGTTGCCCAGGCTGTTCTCAAACTCCTGAGCTCAAGGGATCCACAACCTGCCTCGGCCTTCCATAGTGCTGTGATTACAGCATGAGCCACCATGCCAGGTCCATCTGGGTTTTTTGTTTTTGTTTTTGTTTTTGTTTTTGAGTTGGAGTTTTGCTCTTGTTACCCAGGCTGGAGTGCAGTGGTGCGATCTTGGCTCACTGCAATCTCTGCCTCCTCTGGGTTCAAGTGATTCTCCTGCCTTAGCCTCCCAAGTAACTGGTATTACAGGCATGTGCCACCACACTCAGCTAATTTTGTATTTTTATCAGAGATGGGGTTTCACCATGTTGGTCAGGTTGGTCTCAAACTCTTGACCTCAAGTGATCCACCCTCCTCGGCCTCCCAAAGTGCTGGGATTATATGCATGAGCCACTGTGCCCAGCCCAGTTTTCTTTTAATTAGTATTTGCCTGTCATATCTTTGTGTATGTTTTTACTTTCACTGTTTCTCTCTTTACATGATTTTTGTGTCATATAGGTAGATTAAAATATTAAATCTGATAATCTTTATTAACAGGAGCATTTAATCGTTTATGTTTAATACAGTTATGGATATATTTGATTTAAAATTTACCATCTTAACAGTGGACTTTGGGGACCCGGGGGAAAGGGTGGGAGGATGATGAGGGATAAAAGACTGCACTTTGGGTACAGTGTACACTGCTCGGGTGATGGGTGTACCAAAATCTCAGAAATCACCACTAAAGAACTTATTTATGTAACCAAACACCACGTGTTCCCCAAAAAGCTATTAAAATTTTAAAAAAAGCAAATTAAAAAGTTTGCCATCTTGTTTTATACTTTCTACTTATCCTTACTTATTTATTTATTTTTTTCTTTTTTGAGATGGAGTGTCACTCTGTCACCAGGCTGGAGTGCAGTGGCTTGATCTCGGCTCACTGCAACTTCTGCCTCCCAGGTTCAAGTGATTCCCTCAGCCTCCCAAGTAGCTGGGACTACAGAGATGCACCACCACGCCTAGCTAATTTTTTGTATTTTAGTAGAGATGGGGTTTCACCATGTTGGCCAGGCTGGTCTTGAACTCCTGACTTCAAGCAATCCACCTGCCTCGGCCTCCCAAAGTGCTGGGATTACAGGTGTGAGCCACCGTGCCAGCCATCTGTGTAGCTTTTTGCATCTCAGCCTTCCATTTGGGATTGCTTTTCTTCTGCCTAAAGTTCATCCTGTAGATTCTCCTTAGTGATAGTTTGTTGGAGGTATACTTTCAGTTTTTCTTTGCCTGAAAATGCCTTTATCTTTATTCTTCGATACTTTCATTGTGTGTTTACTAGGTTGGCAGTTAGTTTCTTTCAGCTGATTGGAGATATTGTTCTATTGTTTTCTAGCTTTCATTATTGCTGTACAGATATTAGCCATGAGTCCTTTATTTACCTAGGTGATTTTAAGATATTTGTCTTTGGTATTGTATACCTTTACTATGATGTAGCTAGGTATGGATTTCTTTTTTTTTATTCTGGTTGGCATTTTCTGGGTTTTTGAGTGTTATTGTTTTTATCTGATTCTGGAAAATTTCCATCTATTATCTGTTTAAGCTTTTGTTTTGTTCATCCCTTCTCCTTCTCCAACTAAATGTATGCTTGATGTTCTTAATTTAGTTTTTTATGTACTTTTTGTCTTGTTGTCTTTTGTGTTGCATTCTGGATAATTTCTAGTGATATATTTTGTTGTTTCCCAATTTTCTCTTAAATGATGTCTACTCTACTTTAAAACCAATCCCTTGATTTAAAAATAAACTTTCTAATGAAGTGTAATACACACTGAAAATGCAACTATCATAACAATATGGCTTGATTAATTTTCTGAATATATCTGTGTAATCAGCACTCTTACAAGAAACAGAACTACTAGTACCTTAAAAGCCCCTCTTTTGCTCCCTTTCAGCCATATTTCTTCTAGAGTAATCTGAATTTCTACCACATAGATTGTTATATGTTTTATACTTGTATAAGGAATCATAAGGTAGGTATTCTTTGTTTCTGACCTTTTTCATTTAGCATTGTTTGTGAGACTCATTTGTATTTCTGTGTGATTAGTAGATTGGTCATTCTCTTTCCTATTTAGTATTTTTTTGTGTTAATATACCACAGTTTATTCATTCTGCTATTGATTGGCATTTAGGTAGTTTGCAATTTTTACCCATTATTAATAGTGCTGCTATAAACATTGTAATATTCTTTTATTAGACATATGGATATATGTTGTTTTCTTGAATTTTTTATATCTGTGTGTATATGTGTGGATATCCTTATTTACTATTTATAGAAGTTCTATTTGTTTCTTAAATCTGCCATGTTACTTTTTATGGTGTTCTATTCCTTGCAAATCTTTCCAAACTTGCCCTTTTTTCTTTCTTTAAACATATAGTTAATGTTTGATAATTATAGTATCTAAAGTTTTGACTTGTCCCTTTCTGGTGTTTATTGTATTTTACTGATTCTCACTCATCATGCTTTGTTTTCATATGTGCCATTCATTGTGCTTGAAAAAGGTATTGGTAGAAATAATTTGAGACCTAGAATGAAGCTGCCTTTCTGCAGAGAGGATTTGCATTTGCTGCGTCAAGGAGCCTAAGGACTACTTTAAATTAAATTCACAGTTTGAGGTTTTTGGGAATATCCATTTGACTTGAATTCCAACTGTAAGTCCATGTGAGGGCTAATTATTTCTGGCTTCCTTCTGGATAATCGTGAGTATGTAGCCTTTGTGGTTCCAACTTAATGTGAAGAGGGTCTCCTGTAAGACACTCCACCTTGGATGAGCTCTGGGCTTTCTGTTTTCTTCTCATTGTGAAGACATTGAAACCAAACTTCAGATTTGCCTGGATTGTCAAATGACTTTAAGATAAAAGAACCTACTGTTCCTGCAGTTCTCTACTTACCTTTTGGAGTTTCTGTTTTATTTCAGTTTTGGCCTAGTAATTATATACTATCTTATAGCTCTTCAATGTTGCTAAGATTTTTTTGCTTTTAAGCCAGCATGTTTAGTTGTTTTTGTTAATAGGACTGATCTCAGTTAGCCTACTATTGCTAAGGATAACAAGTTCTTGATTTATATTTCAGAAGGTTATCTGTGGATTTTGTGTGGGGAATACATACAAAACAGCTGATTGGGAGGTAAAAGAGGGCCAAGGGCAGAAACCAGAGACCAGTTAGGAATGCTGGTATAGTACAAGTGAGAAATGAAAATGGTTTGGATTCGGGTGTACTTAGAAGGAAAGGGCAATAGGATTTGTTGAGGGTTCAACATAGGACATGACAGAAACAGAGCAGTCAGGGATATCTCTTAGGCTTTTTCATGATCAGCAGGAAAAGTGGAGGTGCTGTTTCTTGGGATGGAGAAGACTAGGAGGAGCAGATTTGGGGAGATAAATCCAGAGTTCAGTTTGAGAATGTTATGTTTGAGATGCCTATTAGGCATCCATGTGAAGATGTTGAGTAGGAATTTGGAGAGATGTGTCTGGAGTTCAGAATAGAGGTCTGCCCTAGAAGTATGTATTTGAGAATCATTAGTGTATAAATGACTTAAAGCCATGAGTTAATGAGACCATCTGGGAAGTGAATATAGTAAAGGAAGTTTAAAGCATGATCCCTGGGAAGTTGGATGTTTAGAGTTTGAGAATATGAGGTGGATTCAGCAAAAGGGATTGAGAAGGGGGCAGTCAATGAGGCATTAAAGCCAAGGGAGAGTGGTGCCCCAGAAGTCAAAAGAAGAAAGTATTGCAAGGAGACAATAATCAGCTGTGTCATATGCTGCTGAAAGTTTGAGTACATTACTGTGAACTGAGAGTTGATTGTTATATTTGGAAAACATTTACTTTTTTAGTAGCTTTAATGATAACTGATTGAGTAAAGAGGTGGAAATAAAAGTCAGACTGAAGGTAGGCTCAAGAGAGAATGGTTACTGAGAGAAGTATAGCTACAAAGGAGAACAGAGAAATGGGGCAGAAGCTAGAAGGGAATATGGGAATGGGGCTGAGGGAGAAGGATTTTTTGTATTAATGATAGGAATTATTACTGCAAGTTTGTATGCTGGTAAGAATGGTCCTTTAGGTTAGAAGAATTGATATGGGGGATTAGGGGACAGTGCAAGAACAGAGAGGGAAATGGAGTCCAGTACACAAGTAGAGAGGTTACCCATAGAGAGGAACATGGACAGCTCATTCATAGTAGTAGGAGGTTCAGGTTCAAGTGCAAGTGGATTGGTAGAGGTAGTAATGGGACAATGTTTCTATTTTCTCAAAGAAACAATGTCATTTGCTGACAGTAGGGAGGGAGGAAAGTGAAGGAGCCTTAAAAAGTGAGGAATGTTGAACATAATGTTTTTGTTTCTTCCTAGATATGTTTACATTTTGTTAAGAGGTGGAGTAATCTAGTTAAAGTAAAATTTTGAAAACTTCCTTATAATTATGTTGAACTACTATGAAATATTTTTAAAATATATAACAAAAATTCGTTATAAAGGATTCATGAGTAGAAATTCCGTCCCCTAAATGTTTTGTAAATGAATTTTATAAAGTTATAAAAATATTGACTCTTGAAAGATTATTTGGAAAACAGGAAGAAACACCTCCTTTCCAAATCATCTATATTCCTACTACCTATGCATAACCCCTACTCTTAGGTCCCTCCCATTGTTTTTCTTTTTAATGCCAAGTTGTTTGTTTTTAAAAAGAACAGTTATAGTCATGCTTCATATGCAATTGCAATTTGTCGTTCTATGCTTATCAGCTAGCCCTATAAATATTTTTCCATGTTATTACATACTTTTTATAACCATCAAATAGTTGGGTCATTATTTGCTGAATAATACCCTATTGTTGGACATTTAGGTTAACAGTTTTTAGTTGTTCCATAAAATCATTTTGAATAAATGTTCCTAAGAAACTCATTGTATACATACCTTTCATTACTTGATAAGCTGTGTCATATTTTTTAATCACATAACTTAGAAAATAATTCTGGCTTGACATTTATTGTGACTTTATAGTCACACTGTGTTAAAGTAGATTCTCTTTCCTAATTTTACTAATTATATGTTAGGTTTAAAGTCAATGCAAGGAGGTGGGTGAGGTGGCGCACTCCTTTAGTCCCAGCTACTTGGGAGGCTGAGGCAGGAGGATTGGATGTCGAGGCCAGCCTGGACATCATAACGAGACCCCCATCTCTGAAAACAAAAAACAAAAACATCAAAAACTGTTAAAATTGGTACAAGGAAACAATGTGTGTCCTGGAAGTATTGGTATAACTCTAATACTATAATGATAATTTTATACCAAATTTTAGAGTATATATTAAAAGTAAGAAACATTAATATTTTTAATAGGTTGATCCAAGGATTAGTTTTGGATCATGGTGCCCGTCATCCAGATATGAAGAAGCGAGTAGAAGATGCATTTATCCTTATTTGCAACGTTTCACTAGAATATGAAAAAACGTACGTGTTACTTTCTCTTTATAACTTTCGAAATTTTTTTTCTAAAGGTGTTTTAAAATCTTTCTTTCCTTCCAGATGTTTGGTGTAGACTATTTCTACCTTTTTGCTTTTTTTTTTCCTGCCTTTACTAGCTGGTTTTTATTAATCTTTTAGAGAAGTGAGCTCTGGTTTCTTTTATAAGACTGCAGAAGAGAAAGAGAAATTGGTAAAAGCTGAAAGAAAATTTATTGAAGATAGAGTACAAAAAATAATAGACCTGAAAGACAAAGTCTGTGCTCAGTCCAATAAAGGATTTGTCATTATTAATCAAAAGGTGAGAAAGAAAGTTTAGATTTTAGTTATTTGTAAAAGTTCTTAAGCATTTCTTGAAGTGTGGTCTGTGGACCCCTAAGAATCCCTAGGACTTTTTCAGAGAGTCTGTGAGGTCAAAAACTCTTTTCATAATAATAAATACACCTTTTACATTGTGTTGACATTTGCAATGATGCTGCAAAAGCAATCTGTAAAACTGCTGACACTTTAGCACAAATCAAAGAAGTAGCACCAAGCTATATTAGTAGTCATTGCATTCTTTATTGCCATACCACCACACACTTGCAGTGAAAAAGAAAAGGCAGTATCGTTTAAGAATGTCTTGATGAAATGGTAAAACTTATTAATTTTATTAAGTTTTGTCTCAAATATGCATCCTTTTATTATTAGTGACAAAATATGAAGTATGCACAAAGCACTCTTTTTTTTTTTTTCTTTTGAGACAGGGTCTTGTTCTGTCACCCAGCTGGAGTGCAGTGGCACACTTAGAGCTCACTACAGCCTTGACCTTCTGGGCTCAAGTGATCTTTCCACCTCAGCTTCCCAAGTAGCCAGGACTACAGATGTGCATCGCCATGCCTGGCTAATTTTTAAGTTTTTTCGTAGAGACTGGCTATTGCCATGTTGTGCAGGCTGGTCTAAAGTGATCCTCTTGGCTTGGCCTCCTAAAGTGTTGGGATTATGGGGCTAGGAACTACAAGGCTCTTCTATTGCATACTAAAATATGATGGTTGTCTTGAAGGAAAGCACTTGTGTAATTGTTTGAATTGCAAGGTAAACTAGACACTTTTTCATGGAATGCCACTTTTACCTGGAAGAATGACTGATAGAAAAACTGTCGTTATCTAGATATGGGTATTTGGTAGATTTCTCTCAAAAATGAATGAAGAAATTCTGTGACTTAAAACAACTGACAGTATTTGTTGTCAATAACATTTGAACTTTTAAACAAAAATTAGAACTTCGGAAAACTTGTATCTGCCATGTGAACTTGACAGCTTTCCAATACTTAAACTTTCCTGATAATAGTAGTGATATTAACAAAAGTGAGTTTTTGTTCACTGAGTTAGGCAAAGTTTCCACATGTATAACGTGACACAGTTTCCACATGTATAACATAACATGTTATACATGAAATGTGTCAACATGTGGAAACTTTGTCTAACTCAGTGAACTAATGCTATCTATCTACTTGACTAAAAATGCATGATTTTTATAAAATCATACATGGATAAATAATCCATTCAGTGTGCAAGTTACACCAACGTGTTTTAATGTGAGATAGTATGAAAAGTTCGTTGCTGTGGTTCCATAGTGAAACTAACCTTTGAGAAACTATTACTTGTTGAGTTTTGGTATAGTATCAAAGAAGAATTTCCATAGTTATCTGAAAAGGCTATTAAAATATTACTCCCTTTACAATATTTGTGTGGGGCCAGATTTTCTTCATAAACTTGAACCAAAATAACTTATCATTCCAAACTGAATACTGAATCAGATATGAGAATCCACTTGTTTTCTATGAAAAACATTGAAGAGATTTGCAGAAATGTAAAGTAATGCCACTGCTAACTCACTATATATATTTTTTTGTTTTCAAAAGTGTAGTAAATTTTCAGTTAAAATGTTATGTATATTAACATAAAATGGGCTTATTATTTAAATGAATTAATAAATATTGTAAAAGTGTATCAGTTTTTATAATATGATAAATATTATAGATAGAGCTTACATAAGCAAAAGCTCTTTGGGTACTTAATAATTTTTAAGAGAGTAAAGTAGTGCTGAGACCAAAAGGTTTGAGAAATACTGGTTTAAAACTTGTTTATAATTTTTATGTTAATTTGATTATAGGGAATTGATCCATTTTCCTTAGATACTCTTGCAAAACATGGAATAGTAGCTCTTCGCAGAGCAAAAAGAAGAAATATGGAAAGGTAAGCTTGCAGGTAATTATATATCCTAAGTTTTTAACAGAGTAAATGGAAACTATCCCATGTGTTTTCCTTTTAGCTTATGTGTAAATGTTGTTGAACAAAACAGTGGCATAAAAAAATCCAAATTTTGTTTTTAGTTTCAGTAAATAATTGAACTGTCAAAAAGCAAGGTTGTTAACCTACTGCAGAACTTTGTTGAAGTATAAGGAAAGTTTTTATCTTTTTAAAACAGATTTTAAAAACAAAACAATACAACATAATATAGCATGATCTCACTTTTATATATGGAATCTAAAAAAGTTGAACTCATAGAAGTAGGTAGTAGAATGGCAGTTACCAGGGGCTGGGGCAGTGGGAGGGGAGGGGCACTGGGGATATGTGGGTCAAAGGATACAAAATTTCAGTTAGTTAGGAGGAATAAATTCAAGAAATCTATTGTTCAACATGGCAACTATTGTTAATAACAATATATTGTTCTTTTTAAAAATCTTTTGCAAACCCACCCAAGAATGCACAATGTGTTGGATTCTTGAAAAATGCGGAGAGTAGATTTTAAGTGTTCTTATCTCAAAAATGGCTAAATCAAGCCTCACATAGGCAATGCATATGTTAATTAGCTTGATTTAGCCACTCCACAGTGTATACATATTTAAAAACATCATCATGTTGAACTCGATGAATATAGACAATTTTATTGTCAATTAAAAACCCAAAACAATACAATACAGTAACAATACAGTCTTCTGCATTAGATATCTTTTTTCCTCTAGGAAATTAGTATTTATGTTTTCCATAATCAAGCTATGGTGACATATGTGTAATTTCAGACTCTCTCTCGCTTGTGGTGGAATGGCTGTGAATTCTTTTGAAGATCTCACTGTAGATTGCTTGGGACATGCTGGTCTTGTGTATGAGTATACGTTAGTGAGTATTTCTGTGAATAGTGGTTGTAAAGTAAATACTAAGCCCCCTTTTTTTAAAGAAAGATACTACTTGACCTTTTATTTCATGTTTTGTGTTTCAAGATCTAATTCACAGAACAGATTTTACAGTTTATTTACCTAAATGTTTGTTAAGAGTTCAGATATAACTTAACTCCCTTTAAACATATCTTTAGTTATGCTTGATAAGAAAAATTCAAATGAAGATTGTATTCTAGTATAAATTGTTGATTTTATAATGACATTAAATATTAAAGTTATATATTTTTGTGCCACACATTAGGGTGAAGAAAAGTTCACTTTTATCGAGGAGTGTGTTAACCCTCACTCTGTTACCTTGTTGGTTAGAGGACCAAATAAGCATACTCTCACACAAATCAAGGATGCCATAAGAGATGGACTTCGTGCTATCAAAAATGCCATTGAAGATGGTAAGCTCTTTCTTGTGATTGATATGAACCTCACATATATGTGTGTATATGTGTATATACACACACACACCCCTATGTATATATACATATATTTTTAGACAGAATCTCGCTCTGTTGCCCAGACTTTAGTGCAGTGGTGTGATCTCAGCTCACTGCAACCTCCACCTCCCAGGTTCAAGCAATTCTTCTGCCTCAGCCTCCCAAGTAGCTGGGATTACAGGTGTGCACCACCACACCTGGCTAATTTTTTGTATTTTTAGTAGAGATAGGATTTCCTCCATGTCGGCCAGGCTGGTCTCGAACTCCTGGGCTCAAGTGGTTTGCCCTCCTTGGCCTCCCAAAGTGCTGAAATTACAGGTGTGAGCCACCACGCCTGGCCTTTAAATTTTTTTTAATTTTATTTTTAAATTTTAATCTATTTATTTATTTTGAGACCAGGTTTTGAAACTGGCTAATTTTTGTATTTTTGGTAGAGATGAGGTTTCACCATGTTGCCAAGGTTGATCCTGAACTCCCGGGCTCAAGGGATCCACTTGCCTTGGCCTCCCAAAGTGCTGGGATTACTGGCATGAGCCACTGCACCTGGCTGCAAACCTCATATATATATATATATATATTTTTTTTTTTTTTTTCTTTTTTTTTTTTTTTCTTCTCAAGACAGGGTCTTGCTCTGTCACCCAGGCTAGAGTGCAGTGGCGCAATCATGGCTCACTGCAGCCTCAAACTCCTGTGCTCAAGTGATCCTCCCACCTCAGCTGGACGATAGGTGCATGCCACCACACCTGGCTAATTTTTAAATTTTTTTTTGTAGAGATGAGGTCTCTCTATGTTGCCCAGGCTGGTCTTTAATTCCTGGCCTCAAGCAGATTTCCTCCCTCAGCCTCCCAGAGTGCTGGGATTTGTAGGCATGAGCCACCACATTCAGCCCATGTTGAGCATCTTTTAATGTGCTTATTCGCCCTCCATATATCTTCGGTGAATTTTCTGTTTAAATCTTTTGCCCTTTTAAAAAATTGGATTGTTGGCCAAGCACAGTGTCTCCCACCAGCACTTTGGGAGGCCAAGGTGGGAGAATTGCTTGAGCCCAGGAGTTAGAAACCAGCCTGGGCAACATAGCGAGACCATGACTCTACACACACACACAAATAGCCAGGCATGGTGGTCTGTACCTGTAGTTCCAGCTACTTAGGAGGCTGAGGCAGGAATATCACTTGAGCCTCAAGAGTTTGAGGTTACAGTAATGTGAGCTATGATCACACCACTGCACTCCAGCCTGCGCGACAGAGCGAGACCCTGTTTCCAGAAAAAAAAAAAAAAAAAAGAAAAAAAATTGTGTTAGTTTTCTGTTGTTGAGTTTGAGAGTTCTTTGGGTGTATTTTGGGTACAAGTGCTTTTTCAGATATCTGTTTGGCAAATTTTTCTCCTCTATGGCTTATTTTATTATTAACAGTGCCTTTCAAGGAGGAGTTCTTAATTTTGATGAAGTCTAATTTATTATTTTTATTCTCTCATGGATTATGCTTTTGGTGTGGTATCTAAAAAATCTTTACCTAACCTGGGGTCACAAATATTTTTCTCTAAAAGTGTTATAGTCTTATGTTTTACATTTAGATCTGTGATTCACTTTAAGTTAATTTTTGTATATGGTACAAGTATGGATACAAGTTCATTTTTTCATATAAAGGTATCAGATTGTTTTAGTCTTATTTGCTGAAAAGACTTTCACCACTGAATTGCCTTTTCTCATGTATAAAAAATCAGTTTTTCATATTTGTGTGGTTCTATCTCTGTGCTCTTTTTTCTGTTCTACTGATGCATTTGTCTATTTTAATGTTAATATGATATTGTCCTGACAACTGTAGCTTTATAATAAATCTTGAAATCAGTATTGTTAACTCTCATTTTTTTTTAAGTCATTTTGGTCATTCTAAGTCTTTGGCATTTCCATATGACTTCCATATGAATTTTAGAATCAGCTTGTCAGTTTCTACCAAAAAGACTGCTGCTGGGATTTTGATCAGAACTTTTTTTTTTTAGAAAGGATCTTACTCTGTCACTCAGGCTGGAGTGCAGTGGCGTGATCATGGCTCACTGCAGACTCGACCTACTGAGTTCAAGTGACTCTCCCACCTTAGCTTTCCAAGTAGCTGGAACCACAAGCATGCACTACCATGCCTGGTTAATTTTTTTTCTTTTTATTTTCTGTAGAGACAACGTCTCATTATGTTGTTGCCCAGACTGGTCTCAAACTCCTGGGCTCAAGCGATCCTCCCGCCTTGGCTTCCCAAAGTGCTAGGATTACAGGTGTGAGTCACTATACCCCGCTTGAATAGAATTTTATTAAATCTGTAGATCAATTTGGGGATAGTTGATGTTTTAATAATGAGCCTTCTAACTCATGAATGTCATCTTATCTATTTATTTGAGTCTTCTTGAATTTATCTCAGCAGTATTTCATAGTTCTTAGTATATGAGCCTCACACACTGTTTTCCATATTTATCTCTATATATTTCATTTATTTTGTTGCTATTGTGTATGTTATTTTTAAAATTTCAATTTCTGATTGTTATTTGCTAATATATAGAAATATATTTTATTTTTGTACATTGATCTTGAATTCTGCAACCTTGCTAAATCACAATTAGCTTTCTTATAGGCTTCATTGAATTGCTTATATAAGTGATTACGTTGTCTGCTAATACAGTTACTTTTTTCTTTCCAATATGGATATTTAAAAATTTTCTCCCTTATTTCATGGGCCAGAACCTCCAATGTAATGTTGACTAGAAATAATGAGAATGGACATCCTTTCCTCATTCCTCATCTTAGGGGGAAAGCATTCAACCTTTCTCCATTATGTATGATGTTAGCTGTAGGTTTTTACCAGGTTGAGGAAGTTCTCCCTTCTGCACCCAGTTTGCTGACAGTTTTTAATCAAGAATAAGTGCCAGGCTGGGCTCGGTGGCTCACGCCTGTAATTCCAGCACTATGGGAGGCCGACACGGGTGGATCACCTGAGGTCAGGAGTTTGAGACCAGCTTGGCCAACATGGTGAAACTCTGTCTCTACCAAAAATACAAACATTAGCTGGGCATGGTGGCAGGCACCTGCAATCTCAGTTTCTCATGAGGCTGAGGCAGGAGAATGGCTTGAACCTGGGAGGCGGAGGTTGTAGTGAGCCAAGATCACACCACTGGACCTCAGTCTGGGTGACAAGAGTGAAACTACTTGGTTGTTTTTTTTTTTTTTTTTTTTGTCAACACACACACACACACGTTTCTGTCTCTATGAGTTTACTCTATGTATCTCATATAATTGGAATCATACAGTTTTTGTCCTTTGTCTGTCTTATTTCACTTTGCATAGTGTCATCAAAGTTCATTCATGTTGTAGCATGTGCCAGAATTTCTTTCCTTTTTACTATTGAATAATATTCTATTGCACGTATATATCACATTTTATTTGTCTGTTATTGGAAACGTGTTCCTTTTACCTTTTGGCTATTGTAAATAATGCTACTATGTGTATTCTCCTTTTAATGTATTATTTGATTTAATTGGCTAAAATTTTTTTAAGAATTTTTTATATCTGTATTCATAAGCAATATTGATCTGTGTATATTTTTTCTTGTAATGCTTTTATCTTTTTTGGTGTTAGAACAATGCTGTACTCATAGAGTGAATTGGAAAGTTTTTCTTCTTGTTCAAATTTCTGAAAATGTTAAGTTGCTGTGGAGAATTGGTATTATTTGTATTATTTCTTTCTTAAATGTTTGGTAGACTGTCAATAAAGCCATCTGATCCTTGGAGTTTTCTTTGTGGGAAAGCTTTTAATGACACATTCAATTTTTTTAAATAGACATAGGGCTATAAAGGGTTTTGTTTTTTTTTGAGTGAGCTTTAGTGGTTTGTAGTCTTTCAAGAATTTGTCCACTTCATCTAAGTTAGGATCATCAACTACTATCTATGAGCTAAATCTGGTTTGCTGCCTGTTTTGGTAAATAAAGTTTTATTGGAATGTGGCCATACTCATTTGTCTATGTATTGTCTATGGCAAGCAGAAAGTACTAACTTCTGATCTACAGTTTCAAATTCATTGTCATAAAGCCAATCATAATGTTCATTTATTAATCTTTTTAATATCTGTAGAATCTGTAGTGATGTAACTTTTCTCATTCCTGACATTTATCATTTGATTAATTTCCACTTTCATTCTAATTATTTCCTTTCTTTTGCTTGTATTAGGTTTCATTTGTGCTTACTTTTCTAGTTTTTTTTTTTTTTCTTCTTTTTGAAACAGTCTTGATCTGTCACCTAGGCTGGAGTGCAGTGGCATGGTCACGGCTCACTGCAGCCTTGACTTCCCAGGCTCAGGCAGTCCTCCCACCTTAGACTCCTAAGTAGCTGGGATTACAGGTGTGTGCTACCACACCTGGCTAATTGTGTTTTTTATAGAGATGGAGTCTCACTGTGTTGCCCAGGCTGGTATTGAATTTCTGGGCTCAAGTGATCTATCTGCCTTGGCCTCCCAAAGTGCTGGGATTATAGGAGTGAGCCACCAGACCCTGCCCTTTTCCAGTTTCTTAAGGTGGAAGCTGGGGTCATTCATTTGAGAACTTTCTTCATTCCTAATATAGGTGTTTCGTGATATAAATTTCTCTTTAAGTACTGCTTTAGGGATGCTAAAATTTTGATATGTTGTGTTTTCACAGGGAATGGGATCAGGGAAATTTTCAAAGGTTCTAGTAATCTCTTTCTTAAGCTGGGTGGTAGGTACACGGATACATTTGTTTATTTGTACATTTATTCTTTATATCTTACACATATAAATATTCTTTTGAGTATATTCTGTATTTAACAAGGAACTTTTTAAAAATGTGAATGGGAGGTAATGATGTAATAATCTGGTGGGTAAACAGCTCTGAGCAGTTACATTGTGAAGTGAAGCAGAGAAAGGGGGTAGTAATTTTAAAATGATGTGAGATAAAAGGGGAGATTGTTTTCATATTGTTTTGTTTTAAAGCAAGTTTGCTGATTTAAAAAAAAGTCATAAACTTTATGAAACCATACAAGTAGCAGATATAAAAGTCATATCTTGATGTGAAATTTGATGCGTTTAACCAAAACTCTTGCTTTAGAATAATAATACCACTTAATTTTTTTATTAGATAGCAGTTTGAGTTATGCTCCAGCACCGAAAACAAATACTTCATTGAGTTCCAAGAATTCCCTATCAAAAACTAGGGACAAATTATCTTGGCCTAAAAAATTTTCATGCCAGATATTGTATTCAGTTACCTGTCAATATAAATTATAAATAACTACCTCTTAAAAGTAGTCATAAGGCCGGGTGTGGTGGCTTACACCTGTAATCCCAGCATTTTGGGAGATGGAGGTGGGTGGATCACTTAAGGTCAGGAGTTCAAGACCAGCCTGGCCAACATGGTGGCCCCCCCCCCCCGTATCTATTAAAAATACAAAAATTAGCTGGGTGTGGTGGTGCACGCCTGTAATTCCAGCTACTTAGAAGGCTGAGGTAGGAGATCGCTTGAACCTGGGAGGCAGAGGTTGAAGTGAGCTGAGATCGTGCCACTACACCTCCAACCTAGGTGACAGAGTAAAACTCCATCTCAGAAAAAAAAAAAAAAAAAAAAGTAGTTATAAAAGAGTAAGATGAAGGTAAAAAGAAATTATTCTTGCTTACCAGAGGATAAGCAGCGAAATAAGCTGTTTGCAGCCAGTTATCTGTACTATGCCTATTTATTTAATGACATATAACTTCAGGATGTTTCATAAGATAACTGAGAAATTAAGCTGTGCAATTTATTTGGTTTTTGTAGATAATACAACACACTTAAATAGTGAATTGCTTTTCTCTCTTTCTCTCTCTCTCTGTCTCTCTCTCTGTGTCTCTGTCTCTCTCTCTCTTTTGGTCTTTATGGCATGTCTTGCCAATCATATTTTTTCTCTCCAATAGGTTGTGTGGTTCCTGGAGCTGGTGCAATTGAAGTGGCAATGGCTGAAGCTCTCGTTACATATAAGAACAGTATAAAAGGAAGAGCTCGTCTTGGAGTCCAGGCTTTTGCTGATGCCTTACTCATTATTCCCAAGGTACAACTACCCTTTTGGCCAAATAACAACTGGTTAGACATAAAGGTGTTTAATTACAAATTGCCCATATTATCTGATAGTTAATGGAGTAGACAGGTATTTATATGCATTTCCTTACACAGTTTTCTCTTAGATATTTTACAACTAAAGCAGGGAAACTTTTGGGATAACAGCCCAGAATCCTTGCACGATCTCATGAAATAGCCAACTTACCCCCTTGCTTCTTTCTCTGAGTTCCAAAAATTAAAGCAGCTCTAAATATTTCCTTCAGAAATGACTCATGATTAATCATAATGAAAAAGTTTAGAATTTAAAATTTAGTTAGATTTTATGGTACATCTTTGTTTTGTTAGTGGTATCCAAATGTAATCAATTTAAATTGTGGAGAGTGAGGGCTTGAGGCTATTTAGCATTCCTAGATACAACCTTATATTTGTCATCATCATTTTAATTCCTAGAAAAAGAGAAAACAGAATTTTTCCATGTGGCAACCTAAGGACAGAAAGCAACCATTCCTTTCTCTTTGCCTTAATTGGTTTCAAACCACCTTAGAAATATAGTAAAATTACTTCAAAGATGCTATTACCATGAATTAAAACATTATTAACAATGCCAGCAAAATCTCTTTGCTAATTTTTATTAAAATTTTTCATAATTTGTGAAATCTTTGTGAATTAGATTTCTACTTTTTCTTTCCCCAGAGTAGCGAAGTCAGTATGATTGTTGACAGAAATTGGTAACCCCAGTGTACATTGGTGGTACCTTTTTCCTCATCAGCTGGTGATTTGGTACCACTTGGAAATGAGCCTGGTTTGGAGTGCAGGTATCTCCAACCCTGTTACCACAGGTCGTGACTCTCCTCATGAAGATGAGGGGCACAAAGGTGCTGCAAATATTCTGGTTTCCTCAGCAAGTGCCTGTGAAGAACTGGAGGGCATGTGACTAGCAGCACTAGAGGAAACAAGAATATCATTCTACTTCCTTCCACACTGAAAAAAAAAAAAACACAAAAACCTTTTGCAAGAGGGAAATTAATGTAGTAGAGTGGAAATGGGGGAACTCTGATGTCCTCAGAATTTACTGTGATGTGCATAGGGGCAATGTTTAAGTAAATATAAAAAATACTAGATAGATGAAATAATAATTTGATTTAGATTGAAAGTGGAATTCTTCAAAAGGAGATGATTGCCATGTTATAGATGTGTTTTTACAAGAGTATTTTGATATTTGAGATATGTGAAGGTATTATGCATATATATTTATTATTATTTTTATTACTAAAGGTTCTTGCTCAGAATGCTGGTTATGACCCACAGGAAACACTAGTAAAAGTTCAGGCTGAGCATGTGGAGTCAAAACAACTTGTGGGCATAGATTTGAATACAGGTAAGAAAGGGAAGGAAAATTAGCTGCTTAATAAAGAAAGAGGTTATTCTTTAGTTACCCATATCTTATAGTAAAGAAGTAGAGATTTGGGTAACTTTAATATTTAAATTTTGGATGCCTTTAGTTTATTTTTGAGCTTCTTAAAAAATGTTCATTCATTTGAGAAATAGTTATTGAGTGCTTGTTTTCCTCTTGGGCTTCACACAGAACAAAACAGACAAAAATATCTGCCCCTGGGAGCTTATGTTGTAGTGGGAGAAGGTAGGCAGTAAATAATAACTTTAATAAATAAATTCCTTCAGCATCTTAGAAAGAAATGAATTATACGAAAAAAAGAGTGGTTTACTAATGATCATGAACGCTAGTACAGGAGGGTGGAAAGAGAACAGCAGCTTAAAGAGGTTGGCCATGGTAGGCATCATGAAGATGTCTGTTGAAAAAAAGTGGAAGGAAGTGAGGAAATCAGCCATGTAGGCAACTGGGGTTAAGTGTTCTAGGGAAAGAGAACAGCCAGTGGAAAAGCCAGTGTCTGACGTTTTTGAGGAAGGAGGTGAGAGAGGTGACAGAAGGTCAGATCATGCAGGGGCATTTGGACCAGTCTCAGGACTTTGGCTTTTACTTTAGAGGAGCAGGGAGCAATTTTGAGCAGAGGTGTGACATGGCCTAATTAATTAATTTATGAGGCAGTCTCCTTCTGTCTCCCATGCTGTGGAGTGCAGTGGCACGATCTCGGTTCACTGCAACCTCTGCCTCCCAGGTTCAAGCAATTCTCCTGCTTCAGCCTCCGGAGTAGCTGGGAATATAGGTGTCTGCTGCCACGCCTGGCTACTTTTTGTATTTTTAGTGGAGACAGGGTTTCACCATGTTGGCCAGGCATGTGGCCTAATTCTGTTTAAGAGAATCACTCTGGCCACTCTCCACTCTGTAGAGAAGTCAGCTGAACAAGTAGAAGGTTGGAGTTGCAATCAACTGTGGTGGAGAAGACTGGCTGGAGCAGGTTGTAGGTGAGAGGACATTAACATTCAGGTTTGGCAGAGTCAAGGTTGAAGCATCTGTAATCTTTTAATTAAAAAAGTTGGATATATGGGTCTAGAATTCAAGGAAGAGGTCTGGGTTGGAGATTAAAACTTGAGAGTCAGGCCGAGTGCAATGGCTCATGCCTGTAATTCCAGCACTCTGGGAGGCCAAGGTGGGTGGATCACTTAAGGTCAGGAGTTCAAGACTAGCCTGGCCAACATGGTGAAACCCCATCTCTACTAAAAATGCAAAAATTAACTGGGGATGGTGGCAGGCACCTGAAATCCCAGCTACTTGGGAGGCTGAGGCAGGAGAATTGCTTGAACCCAGGAGGCAGAGGTTGCAGGGAGCCGAGATTACACCACTGCACTCCAGCCTGAGTGACCGAGCAAGATCTCTGTCTCAAAAACAAAAACAAGACACCAAAAAAAAAAAAAAAAAAAAGAAAAGAAAAGAAAAGAGAAAAAACAAAAACACTCAAAAAACCTTGAGAGTCATCAGATATGTATGGTTTAAATCTAAAAGTCTGGATGAGATCACCTAGGGATTAAGGGTAGAGAGAAAAGAGGCTAGGACTGAACTTTTGAGTACTCCAGCATTAAGAGGTGAGAGGGGAAGAGGAAGAACCAGCAAAGTAATCAGAAAAGGAGCCACTAGTGCAAAAGAAAGAAAACCAGAGGAGTGTGGTATCCTGGAAGATAACAAAGAGTAGACCAGAGAGTGTGATCAACTGTGTTAAATACTGATAGATGAGGCCTAAGAATCAACCATTGGATTTAACAATATGGAGGTCATTGATGACCTTGACAAAAGTAGTTTTGGTAGTGTATTAAATCTTTTTAGAAGATATCAATTAATATTAATAGAAAATAGTAAGATTTTGGTATTAAAATTGTTTTTACTTTTCAGGTGAGCCAATGGTAGCAGCAGATGCAGGAGTTTGGGATAATTATTGTGTAAAAAAACAACTTCTTCACTCTTGGTAAGTTCATATGAACATAAAGTGAAAGACCTGTAGAGTCATAATTGATAATATTAAGATGAAAATGTTTCTATTATTTTTGTCATTGTACAGTGGAAAAATCGTCAAGTGTTTGAAAGGTGTGGTATTGTTATTAGGACTAGCTTCTGTCACTTTATAGTCCATAGTCCCTTTTATATTTTAAGTCTAGCAGTGTAAAGTTATAAGAAAAATTAATCTTACTATTTGAGGGGGAAAGAAAAGGGGAAATTTACTGAAATAGTAGCACATGCATGATGGAGAAAATCAAATGATATTGTAAAAATGAGCTCAATTTTGCCGGAATATAAATCAGGAATGCACCTTATCAGCAAAGGAGTTTAAATTATAATACAAAGGGTGACATTTGGGCCAGTGCAGTGGCTCACACCTGTAATCCCAGCACTTTGGGAGGCTGAGGCAGGTGAATCACCTGAGGTCAAGAGTTCAAGACCAGCCTGGCAAACATGGTGAAACCCCGTCTCTACTAAAAATACAAAAATTAGCCAGGCATGGCGGCAGGTACCTGTAATCCCAGCTACTCGGGAGGCTGAGGCGGGAGAATTGCTTGAACGTGGGAGTCAGAAGTTGCAGTGAGCTGAGGTCTTGCCATTGAACTCCAGCCTGGGCAACAAGAGTAAAACTCCATCTTGGAGAAAAAAAAAAAAAGGTGACATTTGTATTTGTATTTATAACAGCCTTGTCTCATAAAATATCATACCAACATCATTAAAGTACCCTACATAGGTAAAGATTGCTGGAGAAAAAAGCTAAGAGTGGGTTAGTAGGCTTTACTCACCCTCTCACCTTTTTCCTTAGCACAGTGATTGCCACCAACATTCTCCTGGTTGATGAAATTATGCGAGCTGGGATGTCTTCTCTCAAAGGATGATTGAATTCAAAATCAACCCTTCTAGAAGATGAAATTTAGTACACTTTACATCTGACTACTATTGTGTAGCCTGAGCCATTCTGAATTTCTACACAATAAATGCAGTTTATATCTTTTGGATCTTAACAGTCTCAAAAAATATTTCATCAAGGTATAAAGAACACAAGAAATACTTTTACAGTAAATGAATAATAACTGGAATATTTCCCCAAGAGTCCTAACTCCCCACCCTTTGTTGTATGCTACTGCAGTTGTTATAGCATAGGATCTTTATTATTCTTAGACCTTTTGGCAAGTTTTAATTAATGAAATAGAGGTTTTAGTGCACTCAAGTAAATTTCCAATTTATCAGAGGGTATAAATGTAGTAGGACAAAAATGTTTCATTTTCTCTCAAAATTCTTTCAGTGACGTCTTGCGGCCACTCTTTCCTCTTATAAATACGGCATGTAGCTTTGGGTTACATTGTTTATAATATCTGACTCAATTTATTTTGGATATCATTTATTATATTTTACCTGGCTTTTTTTTTTTTTGTATATATGATCAACAATTTATGCTACTGTGCTAGCTCTGGTAGCTCTCTGACTAGATGGTGAGATAGAACAGGTCTCATCTGGAAAGAGGAGAATTGTTGACACCAGCAGTGGGAAATAATTGTTTTTAGCTTATAATACAACTGTTCAGTGTGGATATTATAGCAATATCTTTCTTGTTTGAAACTCTAGAATTAATCTATTATGCTTTTTATTGTTATTAGAGTTCTTGTGGTTAACTTCTTTCCATGGATGTTAGTTGATAAGAGACTAAAATATGGCAGGTGCATTAATGGAACTTTGGCCTGTTTGTGCATATAGGAGAAGGTTCCTTTAACCATTTAATGCCCTAGTTGAGAACCTATGATTTTATAGCCTGTTTTTTTCCACTTAATATGATATCAACATCTTTCTAAGTCAGTATTCAGACTTTTTCTTTTTCTTCTTTTTTTTTTTTTTTGAGGTGGAGTCTTACTCTGTCACCCAGGCTGGAGTGCAGTGGCATGATCTTGGCTCATTGCAACCCTTGCCTCCTAGGCTCAAGTGACTCTCCTGCCTTAGCCTCCTTAGTAGCTGAGATTACAGGTGCACACTACCACACCTGACTAATTTTTGTATTTTTAGTAGAGAAGAGGTTTCACCATGTTGACTAGGCAGGTCTCGAACTCCTGAGCTTCAGCAATATGCCTGCCTCAGCCTCCCAAAGTACTTGGATTACAGGCATAAGCCAGCACACTTGGTCCAGTATTCAGACTTCTGAACCATCACTTATGTATGTTTACACGGCATTGCATTGTATAGTTATACCACAATTTATTTTACTAATTCTGTTTTCAATTTTTTTTGCTGTTATAAAGAAAGATCTCCTTTTTAAACTTGTCTTTATCCTATAGAATAGGCCTTTTAAAATGGGCATGCCATGCATATGGCCATATCTTTTCTGTGTAACATTGTTTAAATTTTGAAATATTTAAAATATACCAAAAAAGACAGAAAGTAATATAATAAACACGTTTGTACCCTCCACCTAGCTTTAACAAATAGTAACATTTTGCCATATTTGTTTCAGATTTTCTTTTCTTTTCTTTTTTTTTGAGGCAGAGTCTCCCTCCTGCCACCTAGGCTGGAGTGCAGTGGCACCATCTCGACTCACTGCAACCTCCACCTTCCGGATTCAAGCGATTCTCCTACCTCAGCCTCCCGAGTAGGTGGGATTACAGGAGCCTGCCACCATGCCTGGCTAATTTTACATTTTTGGCAGAGATGGGGTTTTGCCATGTTGGCCAGGCTGATCTCAAACTCCTGACCTTAAGTGATCTGCCTGCCTCGGCCTCCCAAAGTTTTGGGATTACAGGCATGAGCCACTGTACCCAGCCAGATTTTCTTTAAAGAAATACCAAAGTACAAAATGTTAAGATGCCGCTTTCCCCACCCACTCCCCATCATGCTTTTTCCACCCTTCCTCCCTAGAGGTGATCTTTATTGCCTATGTACTTTTATTTTTCCCACTCTTTATTTTTTTATTTTTATTTTTATTTTTTTTTTTGAGATAGTTTCACTGCTCAGACTGGAGTACAGTGGTATAATCGCGGCTCATTGCAACCTCCACCTCCCAGGTTCAAGCGATTCTCCTGCTTCAGGCTCCCGAGTAGCTGGGATTACAGGTGCCCACCACCACGCTTGGCTAATCTTTTGTATTTTTAGTAGAGACAGAGTTTCACCATGTTTGCCAGATTGGTCTTGAACTCCTGACCTCAGATTATCCACCCACCTCGGCCTCCCAAAGTGCTGGGATTGCAGGAGTGAGCCACTGTGCCTGGCCATTCTTTATTCTTTTGCATACCTGTGACAACATAAAAAATTCATTTGTGGTATTTATTTATTTAATTTATGTAGAGACAGGGCATCACTCTGTCACCCAGGCTGGAATGCAGTGGCATAATCAGCTCACTGCAGCCTCAAACTTCTGGGCTCAAGCAATCCTCTCACCTTAGCCTCCTGAGTAGCTAAGACTATAAGCACATGACACCACACCTAGCTAACTGGTGAATTTTTCTTTTTTTCCTTTCTTTTTATTATTTATGTATTTATTTATTTTTGTGGAGATGGGGTCTTGTTATGTTGCCCAGGCTGTTCTTGAACTCTTGGCCTCAAGCAGTCCCCCTTCCTCGGCCTCTCAAAGTGGTGGGATTACAGGTGTGAGTAACCAGCCTTTTCTTGGGTTTTTAAAATGTATAAATTGTATCGCTCTGTAGATATACTTTTGTGCTTTTATTTCCCACTTAATAGTTTTGAGATTTATCCATTCATTCATTTTAGCAGTTTTGGAGTATTCCAGTGTATTTCTTTTTTTCAAAAAAAGTTACACAAACTTTTATTTAAAAAAAAAAAAAACAGCCTTTTTTCACTCAGTTATGTACTATATTGCATTTTCCACTTAGTTCAATGCTTTAACGCTCAAGGATGCCTCTGCTTTTGATTGTACATGGGCCTGAAGCATCCTAGGTTTTGGCAAGCAGACAGGAGACTCAACAAAAACCCAAATAGGAATATTAATGCAGGGCACATCTGTAAACATATTATATATTTGAAAATTACAATATCAGTCAAAGTGACACAGTTTACAGGTGAAATGAAACTATCTGGAACTGCCTTACCACAAGTTTCTGAATCTGGACTGATATAATAAGTGATATATATATAAAATGTATTTTAAAAGTTTTGTTTACAACAAGTGGGGTTTGCAATCTATGCTTATACTTATAAAATCTAAGCAGGACATATTCAAGTATACTTCTTGTTTGTATGTATGTATGTGTGTGTGTATGTATGTATGTATGTATGTATATATGTAGAGACAGGGCCTCACTGTGTTGCCCAGGCTGGTCTTGAACAGGTACCTGGCCTCAAGTGATCCTCCCACCTCAGCCTCCCCAAGTGTTGAGATTACAGGTGGAGGCCACCCCACCTGGCCTTCAGTATGTTTCTATACTACAATGTCATGTTCCAGTAAGTTAAAGAAAAAAATCTTCAATATCAAAACTTTCAGAATATGTGTCAATGGCTTAGAAGAAAATACCAGAGATAGTCGTAGAGACTTTTTCATGAAATGTTGCATTACCACTTCTTGATGGTGAGAATGAGTGTCAGAGACTCTAAGTTGAAAAGTGATTTAGAAGAGTTGGACTCTTGATTATGAAGTCTTAAGAGTATCTTACCTTATTTATTTTGCCTATGTTATTAATGCATAGGAATGATATGATAAAAAGTTGTATGTATAAGTTTAAAAATCTCTTACAGTAAATATAAAAAATGTATGAATGATAAAGTATTATGTCATAGTTGAAGTGATAGCATTTTCTTTTAGTCTGTGAAGTAATGGGTGCATCTTATAATGAGTGACATTTTAGATTCAATGAAATATGATACTATTTATACACTGCTGGACTCAATGCTAGTATTTATTTAGGTTTTTACATGTGTTCATAAACACTGTTGTCCTATAATTTTACTTGTTCTACTTTCCTTTTCTAGTTTTCAGATCAGTGACATATTAGCCTCATAAAATGAGTTGAGGAATTATTACTCTTTGTTTTCTATGGAAGTTTGAGTCAGTAAAATGGAGGGTTATCTATTTCTTGACAGTTTGGTCTGAGCCTAGTAGTTTTTTAAATGGGTGGGATAGATTTTTGAGTACTGATTCAATATTATTATTTTAGGTCTCATGTTTTCTATTTCCTTTTGAGGCTGTTTTGATACTTTATATTTTTATAGAAATGCTTTATAAAATGATACTTTTTCCCTTAAAGTCTTATTTTGTTTTATATTCATCCAGCAGTGCCAACTCTATTTTGGTGCAGGGGATGGGGAAATGATACTATTTTTCTAGTACGTTTTCCCATCCTTTTATGAAATTTCTGTTTTCAGGTATTAAGTGTGTCTCTAAAAACACATCATTGCTAGATTTTATTAATTTAATAACTCACTGCAACCTAAATCTCCTGGGCTCGAGGGATTCTTCTGCCTTAGCCTCCCGAGTAGTTGAGACTACAGGTGTGCACCACCACGGCCAGCTCATTTATTTTTTATTTTATTTTTAGTGGAGATGGGGTTTCACTATGTTGCCCAGTCTGGTCTGGAACTCCTGAGCTGGACCAATCCTCCTGCCTTGGCCTCCCAAAGTGCTGAGATTACAGCCTCTGCATCCAGCCAGTTTTATTACTTTAAAAAATTCACTTGGGCAGTATCTTTTAACTGGTGAGTTTAGTTATTGTTGATAATTAGTGATAGATTTATTTCTACCATATAATTTTGATACTTTTTGTTTACCCTTCTTTTTAAAAAGTGCTTTCTCTTTTTACTACCTTCAGTTAGATTGATTCAATTTTGTCTACTCCCCATTTTTTCTCACTGATGGTTTGGAAATGATATATTCTATTTTTATTACTGTAGGGTTAATTTAAAAATTTTAACTTGCAAACTTAACATAGTAACTCTGCCCCTCCCTAGCAATACAAAGTCCTTAAAACATTTTAAATACAGTAATTCATCCTGTGTTTAAATGTGTTTTTAAATCTTCTTGTTTTTAAAT